GGGGGTCGGCCAGCCGCTGCAGGGGCTCACCTGGGCAGGCAGGGGGAGCCGGGCTTTAGCAGCGGGCCGAGAGGAAAGGGGAGCTCATAAGCTGCAGCCAGAGACCTTACCTGGAGGCAGTCGAGGAAAGAATAAAGTTGACTGTACGTGACGTCCCTGTTCAGCTGCCCTGCAAAGCACAGAGAGGGAAACTTCATGTGCCTGATGGCCAAATGTAACTTCATTTTGCAGCTCTGTGCGTTCCCATGCATTAGACCTCTCGGTGGGGGGAGGCACCCTGGGAGCCCCAACCTCCCCCAGGCTACCCTCCCGCCACCAGAGCCGGGGTGCAACAGAGGTGGCACCAACGCATCCTTCCCGCTCGGGCGCCTGTGTCCCCAAGCATGCAGAGCCACTTTCGCTTCTCCCGCATCCCTCTCCGGCCTTTCACGGGTGATTCGTCTCACACGTGGGGTTAGTCATCGCAGCCTGTGCCAACCTCCCAGGTGCGTGACTGATGTTATGATCCATTAATGTGTCTCTCACCCTCCAAACAAACGCAGGGGTTGCAAAGCTGAAGGGAAGATTGGAGGTGACTGTATATACTCTGAGCTTAGCATTTACCTCGGAGAGGTTAGCCTTGAAAGGGAGGAAAAATTTTGCTGTCACGGAGGGAAGTGAATATGCTTGTATGGGTGAGCAAATTCAAGCACCAAGTCAAACACCCAGCTGACATATTCCCTAAAATTCACTGCGCTACGCAACAGCCTGGCTTGCTGAGAAAATTACCCATTTTCTCCACCTTTTTGCTTCTTTGGTAGGTACAACCAAGATGGAAATTAAATGGCCACTCAGTTCTCTGAGTTTATAGCGCACTGATCATTCCACCTGGCTTCGTTATTTTTGCAGTGCTGAAATATGAAATTTTTGTTGTTGTTTTGGGAACTGCAAAGTATGGTCTCTCCCAAGTGAAACGGGATCCTCAGGTTGCTTTGCAGCGGCTCCCTGATATAGATGTGATTCCTGCCCATCTCACAGCTGCCCATCACCCAGCAGCAGCAGCAGCTGCCCAAGGAGAAAAAGATGGGGAGCTCAAAGATCTAGTGTCACTCCTGGATATTGGACACGTCCCAGACCCATGTAGCCTGAAAGCATCGGGCCCTGGGATGCGCTGTCAGGGGGACCAGGGATTCTGCAGAAAGCCAGACCGACATCTAGTTGCACCTGACCGGCAGACAAGTGGGGAAACCTGCTCGCAACCCATCGGAGGATCTGCCAGAAGTGATCTCTTGCTACAAAACGTGTTGCTTAGGATTAATTGGGTCCCTCCAAGGCAAATCAGCCCCTCTGAAAAATTTTCAGCTGGTCCTATAGCTAATCACTCCTGATTTGGCTTGTGCCAAAAAATGCTACGTGTTGTCTCTGGTAATTAGGTATCCAGTAGAGGAACAGTCCCTGTGATAAACATGTACTCAAGGGAAGAAATGTATTTACGTGACTAGAAAATAATTATCACAAGCTCGCCCTGCCCTGAAAGGGACAAGATTTTTCTTTTATTTTGTTTTTTTCTGTTTTCACTTGATAGTAGTATTGTGCTTATTAGAGAAAAACCTAACAAGGTATCAGGAATAGAAATGGAGACCTCAGATTTCCTGAGAAGACGCAAGTACTTTTGAGGGGTGAAATAACCTGTAGTAGATAATGCAGAAGCTGTGGGGCCACTGGCAGTGATTGGGAACCTTGGGGAAACCACGGCACAGAGTCTGCTGAAAGCTCTAGTACCCAGTGTTGCCAAAATCATCTGAAGATGTAATGTACCATTTTAATGATGTGATTTAGCTTCTCTCTCTCTTTACTGATAAGAGCTAAGGTGACAACAACTTTCCACTTGTTCGGATGCAAGAGAGCTTCCTTTACCCAAATAAAAAGAAGAACATGCTTTTGGTCTAACATTTGACAGCAGAATGGCCATGATGGTTCCTTGTACACACATTTGACTGGAGAACAAGAGACTTACTTTAGCTGTTTTGTATTTCTTTGCTATCTGCATAAAATATTTCACCTTCTTTATTCGCTGCGGGGTGGTATGAATTTGTAGAGAAGGGGTTCTGCAACCAGCTTCCAAGCTTCCCCACCCCATAACCTCCCATGTCCCCAGGGAAATGTTTCCACACTGACCCCAGAGGCAGTTAGGCCATCGGTCTAACCAAGGACGTCACGCGTCATTGCGCATGAATGCAGCCCGCTGTGATGACGTTCCTCCTTGCTGCTTGGCACAGGATGAAGCCAAGGAGCAAGTGGTCTATTGACAGTCAGACGTACGGTTTCATGCACGCTCTGAGATGACAGGTTCCCAAAGGCAGCCTCCAAATCTCTGAAAACACTGCCCCAAAGCACCTTACGGCAACTGCACTCTGAGGGAACGCCCCAAAACATGCCTGCACATGGTGTGAAGTTTCAATCATCACACCTCTAGGTAGGGTAGGAGGTGGCAGGCACCCAGCGCTTGTGGAAAATTTATTTCTCTAATATCTAGCCAGTCTTTCGCAAGCCCCTGACTTAATCTTCTGTCCTGGCCCACATCCAGTTTTACCAAGACATCCACCAGTCAGTGAGTGGAGGTGTTCATCAAATGTCCAGCTCCACCTGTAACAACAACCAGGATGAAGTGCAGGCAGGCCGGCCACAATTTTGGGCCAAGGCTGAGGCAGAACAGCTTGTTTCCACGTCCACAGCATGTATTGAGCCTGGTTTGGAGCTGAGAGTGTCCAGCTTGGGAGGGGACCAGGCAGGTTAGGGATCTGCCCACTAGGTGCCCTGTCCTGCACTGGGGACGGTAAGCTGGCTTTCCTACTTCTACTGCACAGCCAACATCTGTCTTGTATTTCTCACATCTCCTCCACTCTGTCAGGTTTGCTTGAAATTATCAATATATTCATAAATTATTCAGGGAGAGAAGGCGACACAGGGAGAGAAGGCAGATACCCGGGAGGACCCCACAACATCTCACATTTACCTAGAGGATGGTATCTGTCATGCAGGTTATCCCAGAGAAAGCGGCCATCTACCAAGCCTGTTAAAATCACGTGGCTGCCATTTGGAAGACGGGAGTCCAGGTATCGTAGAGCTTTCACCACGTTGGAGAGCATTTCTTTGGGTGTAGTCATGTGAGCCAGTGTGTCACGGTTCCTGCAGAAGAAGAGAATGCCAACAGGACATTGTGTCAGGTAATACTGTGCCCCCAAAAAGGCACCTGAAACAGAGGTATCTTCTTCTTTGTTGTTCTTCCATATTAAGTTAGCTAAATAAAACCTTATAAAAATGATGCTATGTGTTTTAGTCTCTCATTGTTATTGCCAAAATCAGAAGTGATACACAAGAATCCTCCCTTGGTGTAACCCTTCTCCCTGCTAAAAACAGACAGCTGTACCCCTTTTTTATAGAGTGGCCTCCTGTTGTGGGCAGCTAAGCATCACACAGCCTTTTGCTCGCTTCCCCTCCACCCACAGTGAGATGGGGAAGAGGAAGGGAAGAGTAAAAGCAGGAAAACTTGGGGGTCAAGATAAAAAAAAAAAAAGTTATTTTTCAATAAGCAAAAAAGAAACAGAAGAAAGCAAGCAAAAGAAGTGATGCAAAGGCAATCACGCATCACCTCCCATGGGCAGACCGATGCCCAGCCAGTTCCTGAGCAAAAGATGGCTAACCCCCCACTAAAATCCTCTCCTCTCCCTTTTTATTGCTGAGCACGAAATGACATGGCGTGGACTATTCTTTCCGTCAGTTTGGGTCACCTGCCCACTTGTGTCCCCTCCCAACCTCTTGTGCACCCCCAATCTATTCACTGGGGGGGCAGGGTGAGAAACAGAGAAGGCCCCAACGCTGTGCAAACACTGCTCAGCAACAGCTGAAAAAGTGTGTTATCAGCACTGTTTTGGTCAAAAATCTAAAACACAGCACCATAGGAGTTGCTATGAAGAAAATTAACTCTATCCTAGGCAGGCCCAGCACACCACCATAAAGAAAAAAGCCTTAGCTGTCCTGCTGGTTTTATTGCATAGTTTGCAAATGAGTTAGTCTTTATTTACAGTGCAGAGAGGCGAATCAGAGCCATGAAGCAGACTATGACCACATTGGTTTCCCGCGGTGTTAAAAATCTGTGTAAAACTACTCTGGTAACCCTGGCGCCTCGTTCTTTGGAGCTGTTGCAGAGCATCTTAAGCCACTTGATACAAACCCAGGAACTTGCCTAGCTGTATTCCTTAAAAATCCGTGCTGCTTTTGGTGACTGCAAAGACACTGTCCTTGGTGTACTTATCAAACTCCAGCCTGTGACTGACATTCGACTGATCTAATGTCTACCTCAAGTTTCAGCGGATCCATTGCCCTAAGGGGATGTAGGGTGCTGCTGCACCTGGTTAAGGCCTCCGTGGTTCAGCTCTGAACACGGGGAAATGGTGCTGCTCCACATGCACAGCTTCAAGGTGCGGGATGCGATGCCCTACAGATGGGTGAAAGGAGGGCTTCTTTCCCCATGGGTTGCTGCGCGTAGCTTACATTCAACACGCTCTTTGATTATGCCAGGTAGAGATATCTAAGGTAGCTTTGTCTCTCATGTGTCGTACGCCTTTTACTACAGCTCTGCAGGAGGGCAGGAGAGTAGCGAGGGGTCTGGACAAACATGGGAGACTGAAGGGAGGAGGAGGAGGCTGGAGGGAGGAGGTATTTAAGATAAAATGGTCCTCAGAAATGTTCATTAGGGTACGAGAGCTGTGTCACTGTCCCACATGGACTGAAAGTTTTGTGGCTCACTGGCAGGCCTGAACGTCTTCAAGCCAGAGTCCCAGGCTCAGGTTTATCTTTCCCCTCTTGCATTTAGCTAGTTGTAAATGCCGCAGGGGCGGAGGGAAATAAAATCCTGAAGTTGAAATAAATTTCAACTTATATAAGAAAAACAAACAAGTAAAACCACCCCAGGCTGCCTAGAGAACAGTGTTGTAGTCATGTTATTAAAACAACCACTTTATTACAGAAAAAGCGTTCACCCGCTCTCCCCCTGAGAGCTATTGCCATGCTCTCATGGTGCACGTGTCCGTAACAAGGGCTATGAGCAAGCAGGTGAACGCTGCCCCGAGGAGGCTGTCCCATCCTGGCAAGAGAGGATCCATGTGTCTCTGGCACAGAGGAGACCCCAGCTCTGCGGGGCCCTGCTCCGGCAACACCTGGGAGGCAGAGCAGGGCCAGCTCTGGGGAAAAGCCTCCCGTTGTTCCGGAGATGTCCCATTGCCCTCTCTCAGAGCAAAGAGTCAGTGGGATGGAAAGAAGGACACCATTGCGTGCTTCCATAAACCGCAGGCAGCTCCAGGGTGGCCTTGGGTCCCCTTGGGGCACACGGAGCAGAGTATGTAAATCCATAAGTTGCCTTTTTTGAGTTGGGAAAGACAATAAAGACAGGCATTTGCAACAAAAGCTCTTAAAAGAGCCCCCAGAAATAGCAGAAAGGGATTAGCCAGGATTTGGAGCACATCAATGTGTGTGGCCGTGCATGGCATGGACCATGCACTTTGGAAATCAGGCTCTCGTGACAGTTTTGATCCTGCCTTGGTGGTGCAGCTCAGCTGGAACAAGACTTTCAGAGAAAAAGCCTCAACACCAGCTGAGGAGCTGATCTCGTTGCTGAAGAAGAAAGAGAGGGGATGTCCTTCCAAGTAGTGCATAAGGTTGCACTAACGTCCATCATTATCGTTTTAGCAGTTCCCACATTTTCTCCTTGTGGGCTTGTAAGGAAGCGATCAGCCTAGCAGCCAGAAGGCTCCATCCAGGTCCTTTCCCTGGGAAAGTCCTTTAGTCTCTTCCATGGTTTCCCGGGGGTAAAAGAAGGGCAAACTTGCTTGCAGTGCTGAGTGAGCTGCTGGGGAAACAGGTACGATTTCTCATCAGTGAACACCGCAGAAGCAGGAGCTTTCAAAAGCGTTGTTGTTCTGTCTTGAGGCATTAGAAACGTTTGTGCTCGGGGTGGGGGGGTGCTGAGTCCTGTGTGGGAGAACTGCGTTCCCTAGCAAGGATTTGGGATTCTTCAGTGGGCTGCGTTTTGCACACAAAATAATAATTAGATGAGTTCCCTGGGCCCAGAAAATTATCTTAATGCAGTATGTGCTGCTGAAGCATTTGAGACTTTCTGGTTAGGGAGAACTGAAAAACAGCATTAAGATTCAGTCTTATCCTTGTGATAGCCACCCAAGCAAGGTACTTTTGAGATAAGACTGTGGTTTTGCCTTTAAAATATTTCATTTCGCCTACAGGTGTTGCAGCACTTGATTTCAAAATACTGCTCTGATGTAAGGCCTCTACCGCAGGTAAACATGTCAGTGCGAGCCGAAATTAATGTGACATTCATAACTCCACTTTCTCTTGTCATTCTCCACTGAAATCATGTAGATATTTTAGTGCATTTCTTCAAATTTCCTTTCTGTGCCAGGCTGTGAAATTAAAACTGACCGAGAAGTAAGCCATCGTGTAGACACGTTCGTTTTGGGCTCTGCCATAAGGACTTCAAGGTGCCTGGGTGAGCAGCGGGGGCCGTTATGGTACCCTCGCACGGTCCCCCTGGGAGGCAGCAGCCAGTGATAGCCTCTGCCCAGCTGGGACCTCTGGAAGCTGATGCTGGCCACGGTTCATTGTGTCAGAGCATAGCGAGCGGACGTTAATGTCAGGATTCTTGCTGCATTGGATCGGGGTATTTTAGGGAGCACTCCCTGCCCCCCTACAGTACGCAATACACCGTAATATCCTTGGATGTGCACACAGCTCCTGGATGTCCTAACACCACGGGTACCCTCGCTGTGCACACATATAACACAGAGGGACCAGACAGCCTCGTGCAATCTGTGTGAAGCTTTTCCAGCTCTCCTTTGCCACAGAGACCTCCTTCAGTCCCTTATAACAGGGTCTGGCATAGTCCAAACACAACTCTCCACCCTCCTTCTGCATGGGGTTCGTGGGCCTGGCCTGCCACATTCTGTAGGGCAGCGATTGCCCCCTCCCTGTGACCCCAACCCAAATAAATATCCCCCCAGCCAAGGTTTCAGCCATCCGTCTGCTTTCCAGCCACATGCTGGGTTATGTGCCCAGAGTTTGGGCCACTGGCATATGGGGCCAGCTGGTGAGCGAGCACACCACGTGCACACACTCACACGTGCCACACGCACGTACACGCAGAGCTGGAGCCAGCTCCAGCTCGCTGCAGAGGGGTGGTATGCCTGGGACACCAGGGCTAGAGGTGTTGCATGCTCACCTATTTTTAGGGCCGGAGGGGTGCGGCAGTGCTTTGATGACAGTAGCCTTACAATAAGGGAACGTTTTGCTCTCGCTGGCGCCGGTGCCGCTTTGTACAAGTTCCCTTGCCAGTGGCTGCCTGCTCACCCTGTTTTGCTGCTGTCACCTTTCTGTTTGTTGCAGATGCCATAACTGCAAAGCTGGGAAAGGGAGGTTGGAGAAATGGTGTCTTGCTCCAAACGCAACTAACAAGTGCAATAATTGTACAGCATTTGAGGCTGCTGGTGCTCATTATTTTCTTGTCTCAATTTTTTTTGTTCCAGGTCTGTGTGTCCCACATTGTGTCCCACATTTACACCTCAGTGAGCTGAGAGATACCATTGCCATCTGTCTTTATTTTTCTAACCCCCCTGTTTGGACACCACAGTGTGGAGACGACTGGGGATGTGTTACACAGGCTGCCAGTTTCATTATCTTTCTCCTCTACAAACATCCGTATTACTCATTGCCCCGCTCTTCGCATGGGATGAAATACTGGCATACAATGCTTTGGCTAAGAGCTGTGTCTCCGGTGTGCTCAGCACACTGCTCTCATTTGAAGGTAAAATACAGGATAAGGCCAGAAAGGCTCTATTACTGCAGTTTAAAGATGTCCTTGAAGAGGTTTTTATTAGTCAAGCCCTAGGATTGAAGTCAAGCCCATCAGACGTTCCGCATACTCCGTAACCTCTGTGGGTACATCAGAGCCAAGGCAGCTACACACAGTGACCGGACGCTGAAAAAATCTCTCTCCGCTGTACATCCCACTTGATGGAAACAGCATGGAAACAGCATGTTGCTACAGAAGCTGCAGCATCTTCCCTTGCTGGAGTCAACAGGGATCACTACAGCCTGATAGCCTCTTTTGATGCTGCAAATGTTTTGGAAGAAAACAGACAGCAGAGAGAATTTGAGCAGACAGAAGTGTCTCTGCCAGGTAATGGATGCTGGGATAAAAAGACAGGAGAGTTTCAAGTAATAAATACTGTTTTGGAACGTACAAATGGGCAAGGCAAGGCCAAAATCGTTTAAATTTGTGGAAAGTTTCTTTTTACTTCAGGCAAGAATAGAAAGCAGTGCTAGAGACAGGGGAAGTGAAAGGAATAACCTGCAGAATGCAGAATAAAACAAAGGAAAAAGAAGTGTTTTTAGCAAAGCCAGTGAAACAGCAGAATTGAAATATGTACAGAACAGAGCCCGGGCTAAGCCTGGGAGAAGCCCTGCCTGGCATTTGGACGTCCCTGTCTGGAGCACCACACCCGACGTGCAAAGTTTCAACCCAAGCACTTGCTGTTAAGCGAAGTTTTAGGATACCAAAGCCAGGATATTTTAATGGCAAAGTCTGACAGCCTGCATAATAGCTCCAGCTTCATTATACAACCTGTGGGTGAGACTTTTCAAAAGCTTCGGAAGGGGACCTAGCTGAGCATGCATCATTTATTAAAATGAGTGTTTTGAAAGTCTCTGCATAAGTCAGATTTATTTCTTCTGCTTAAAAGAAAACCTGAAGATTAATCATGGTGAAAATAATGTTACACTAACAACAGCAAAGCCAAGACTGCGGCATGGATGTGCTGTGCATTGGCCTGGATGCAAGGTGTTTTCTGCCTTCCCACTACCGGGAGGAAGGGAAGCAACCAACTAGTGACCTCTTGGCATCCCTGCGGGCATTGCTAATGGATAATGCCAGAACTATTAGTTTTGAAAGCTTCAGTTCATTCTCCTGCTGAGCTTATGACACAAGTAAAGCCAGAAAGACAAAACACCTCATCAGGAGAGCACAGCAAAGACTGCAGGCAGTGTGCAGCAGAGGCAGGGTGAAAATAGACCTCGACAGGGGACTACGTTGTCATTCTTCAGAAAAGGTAAACCAGTCACGCTCTACCTCCTGACAGGAGGTGACACACTAGGTAAGAAGGATACACATGCTTTTAAACTCTTTTTTTTCCCCCTCTTATTGTTGTTATACTTCATTTCATCTGCTAAGTTAGAAATATTCTACTTCAGACATGCCATTGGTCACTTTATCGCCGGCTTGTAAAAGAAAGAAAGAAGGAAAGACAAGCTCTGAATGAGGACTGGTAAGTGGCTATGACAAATGCAGGTAAGGCAACAACCAGTATTTTCAGCAGAAAAATAAGAATGAAGCACAGACCTATAGCAAAGAAAAATGCCATCACAGGGAAGCGCAAAGCAATGAGACATAAATGTCCAAGCAGCCGGCAGTACTTTAAAGAAGTTATGACTCTACTATAAAGGTTAATTTGGTTTACACCTTACCCATTGCAGACATCATTCCCAATTGTAGCGTAGATAACTATGGCTGGATTGTCCAACAGCTGGTTTCTGGCCAAGCTAAAAGATAAATACACAGCTATATTAATGGGTAAATATGTTCTCAGTATCTGAATCACACACCATGCTTGTATGAGATCACATTTGGAATTAGCTTGTTTAGATTTGGCCAATGCGCAGATGACTATGCTTTTATGTTTGGGAGAGGGGTTTTTTGTTTTTATTTCCTTGTTTTTATTTCCTTTGTGGACTTGTCTTTAGTAAAGTTTCTTAAATATAGGTTTTTTCACTTCTCCCTTTTGTCCCTTGTGGACTTGTCTTTTTCACTGTTTTTCCTGCTGGCTTTCTATCTTCTTCATATTATTCAGAAGCCAAATCAAGTCATTTCATCTGGGGACAAAGACAAATCAAGATGGGAAGTTTTTGATCAGAGATGGGAGAAGAAGACTATGTTTGGCTGACAACTAAGTTTATGTGTAGGACTGGGCTCAAGATCAAATCAGGATGCGGTTTGAAGTTCAGTGCTAGAGGGCAAGTATTCATTACTACTTTTTCTGGAGGAGAGAACAATAAATCCCTTAGCATGTGAACTATATCAGCATCAAGCAAACAAAATCAAACCCAGCTGCCTCGCAGCCCACCCAAATTCATCTGAAAAGGAGAGTTGCTGCCTTTCACTATCCAGTAGCTACTCAATCATATCCATATGGAGATAACACAGTGGACCTGCCCGTGTCTATCTACATCGCTACAAATCAGGAGTAATGCAGTTAGGGGGACACAAAGCACAGATTGAGGGAAAGGCGTAGTCTCTTCCCTAAAATCACTGGAAATGCTCCGTTGGCTTAACGGGGCCAAGATCAAGGCCCTGGAGATGGTGACATCCACGCTTTAAAACAGTTTTTCTTCTGTTGATGAATGTTTATACCAGAGAAGAAACAGCCAGCACTTCAGAGCACAGTGGCCAAGGGAAGCTGTGCTTTTTAGGACACTTGTGGATAACACATTCCTTCCAGTGCTTTGCTTGTTTCTTTCGAAGAAGTAGGACTCCAGCAACAGTCTGTACCCCCAGTCAGCATTCGAATCCCATTAAACACTCACCTTTTTATTAAATAGAGGAGGTTTCCTGAAGAACCACCTGATCACACATAGTGGGAATAAGAGAAATAATACAACATCGTTACAGTGACAAACAAAATGAAGTGCAAAACCCAACTTCATTGCATATTTCCAATAATCTAGAAGCATTAAAAATAAAAATGGAACAAGAAGTCATCTCCGTGATCTTTTTGGATGCTGGCATTAGGAAGTAAAGCTATATCCAGGGACCTGCTGCCTCTTACCTGAGTCCCACACTTCAGTCTGTAGAAAATCAAATACTTTTAAGTGCTGGGTTGTTTGGATCTGGCTTTTAATCCAGATCTGACAGCTTCTTCCCATCTGTTGAACATAGTAGTCTCTTGTAAACCAGCCAACCTGACTTGTCAACAGTTGATCTACTTTTAACTTTCCCTATAAATTGCAAAGGGAACTGTTCTCACTCTTCTGAGAGAGTAAGCGTCTCACAGCTATACCACATTGGGACTGATTCAGATCCTAAACATAGGCACCAAGTGCCATTTTTGACATCCCAGAGTATCCAAGACACCTGCAGCAGGGCTGGCAGATACAACAGAGGATGCCTGAGAGATTGTGCACTTCTGGAAAGGCAGCTGGAAGTGGGAAAGATACTGTAAAGCATCTTAAACAGCACTAGACACAGCGTTTGGGGTGTCTGCATTGCTCTCCCCATGAGTGGCAGACTTACGAAAAATAGTATTAGGCCAGCTGCACCCTTCCCGAGAAACTCTGCATTTCAACGGCAATTCACCCAAATGGTTAGATGCAAATCTTTCCTCCTCCAGGAAAAGAGCTAGCTACACCTAAACATCTGTGAGCATCTATAATCTTTCATTTATGTCTTCAATGAGAAAAGCATTCCCAATTAGGAAAGCTTTTATGCATAAAACTTACTAGTATGTTTTTAATGGCTATGCATATACGTCCCAACTATCCACAGCGCACAAATCAAACTCCATCACCTGCAGTGCAAGAGTGATAGCAAACAAAGACCCAAAAAAGGCTTTCTGCTTTGTTCAAGATTAGACTAGGACTGTGATTGCAAGAAGCTATCCTCACAGCAATGTACGGAAACATAAACTTCAGAGAAGCCAGAAACATAAGCTTCAGAGAAGCCGGCCCTACAGGTTGTACTTGCTGTTATTTTGCAGCATTTTCACTCTCTCCTCTTTTCTCTCTCCTTCTCCTCTTGTATTACACTCCCTCTATTCTTCACTCAGCTCTTTCCTGGTCTCTCTCTTCTCCTCTTTTCTGCATTGTGCCTCTGAAGCTTGCTTTGAGGAGCAAATTCTGTCCTCCCTGCAGCTCTTGAGGGGAAACTTCTGGACAGAACATCATTAAATCCCTGCTGGATTGGTATAAGGGAAAGATCTAAGAGATAAACCCCTAAGGTAGCAATAATACACTTTGCATTTTAATAGTGGTGCCTTTGTTATTATCACTCACAGTGATGCCAACCGCATATATCAAGGAATCCTTTATGTTTTAAATAATCCAGTTCTTCCAAGCTAAAAATGAATCTATCTGTCTGCTGCTTCTCTCCTGAGGGTTGCTGGTCCATTGAAAATCCAGCCCTTCTGTTGAGAAGCTCTTTTCAGCAGAATAAGGGCCTCACAAAATCCTTAGAAAATATGGCTTGGAACATAACTACCACCAGGGTTTTTTTCCGTTTAATAACCCTTCTTTCAGCTAGAGTTCAACACCCCTCTGTTAAGCCATTCTGCCGCATGGCCCCCTGGACTGGGGCTGCAGTTCCAGCACAAATAAACTATTGGGATCTCTAGAAATTAAAAATGTATTTACAAAAAAGTAAGAAGCTGTTCTTGGGTATGTATTACCTCCACAAGCGTAGGTAGCTATAAGCAGCTCCGTGGAAAGCATTAGTACAGTTACAAATTAAGTAAAAACATCAAAAAAAAGAAGGAGTTTTTTAGAGAACTGTTTTCATGGGTAAATTGAGTCTTCAAGGAAGTTTTTGTGATACACGATGCAATCTGTGATGAAAACAGTCAAGAGTAAAAAAGACACGAGGCAGAACAGTTACCCTTACGCTGTTGAATGTCCTGGCAGCTATTCCTAGATCTCTCCTGCCCCGCTCTCTGTTGCTTTCCAAACATTTTCAGACCAACGGGGTTTTTCAGTTTTGATTGAGGAGTCAGGGTTGGATTTGCTTCTGCTTGTGAGCAATCCCAAATTTCATAAACTTTGGAATACTTGAGCTGCCCTTCTTGATTTTCTTGCTCTTAGACCTTGTGTGGCTGACAAGGAGCAGCACTAGAGTGCACTTGAAAGAGCCTGGGTCCAGATAGCACCAAAAGTGCTGTGTGGACGAGAATGGCTTATCGACTTCTAATCTTTTGCTCCCTTATGTTGTAAAAACAATTGGAAATTTAATGGTGCAAAGAAAAAGTCTCTGGTTTTCCCCAAATGAACTCCAGGTGGACTAGAATTTCCAAGACAGACGAAGAAAAAAAAAAAATTATTATTTTTTAGCGGGTTTTGAAGCCCATGTGAGATATCCGGTGCTTGATGGCTCAGTGAGCCACAGCATGTATTAACAAGGCCTAATTTTCTGGTCAAAGGCAAGAATCCCAAAGAGGCAGATCAGACTACAAATGACAAAGGAATATACAATACCTGTGTTTTGAAATAGCATACGTTATCCAAGTATCTCATGCAAAACATGGATGACAATTGCAAGATTGTTCTGTAATTATTTAGAAATTCTGAGGGTATTCACTTTCCCTGTGTTTACCTAATGATTTTCTGCAATATTTTAGCAACAGATTTTACTATCAGGATGCTTCTGTCAAAACAAGGGATCTTTGACAAATGCTGGAGAATGTTTAGAACAACTTTCTAACTCCACACCTGAGCATTCATGCCTGGCCCTCACACCTGAGGATCCCACTCACCCAGTCAAAAACCAGAAATAGCACATGGCCTACAAACTTGTGTGAAGCTGCTGGAAGGCAAGACACCAAAACCATATTGAAAACAATGAACCAATAAAGATTGTCCGTAGAAAACTGTTCGGCAAGCCACTTCGATGGAAAACATCGATTAGGACTGTGAGGTGCTTGTTGTGCAACCACAAGCTGAAAGCAGTAACAGTGGCATAGAACAGATTTGTTATGAATTATTAACCTATATCTCATATACCAAGCATCTTGTGGGGTGTACAGTGAGCAAAGCTGGTCACCCAAAATGAATGTCAGCAATTCTGATGTAAATATATTCATGAGTCATGAGTAACATATATGGAGACTGAGGGGCACCCTCCCTGGCCCTGTGTGAGCACCCTACCCCGCAGCCAGCTGCAGAGGAGGGAAGGGTCCACTATCTCCAGGGGATAATGGGATTTTTTAAGAAAGGGAAGGCAGAAATCCCGCTAGCACAGAGGTTGGGGAAGACTTCCTCCTGGGTCAAGATGCATGTGCCGAGAAGGGCAATGGGGGAAAGTCCCTCCATGCTGAGCTCTGACACAGTGCTGGTGCTTCTGTAGGGGGGCTGGAGATGAGCATTGCTCTCGGTCCCTGGCTTGGCTTGCCATCCTGGGCTCTGGCTCTTGGCCGCACGCCTTCCCCATCAGAACCGCACCTGTAGTGTCTCATCTTCTCATTGCATATATGTGGGGCTGTGAAGCACCATTTTCAGAGGAAGGTCAAGTTGTCCCAGGTGGCACTAGGTCAGGTTGGTGGCCAGCTTTTTGCTTTACTGACACTGAGAGTGGCCATTAAAACCCTCCCATTCGGGGAAACTATTACGCCAAATGAGGCAATAAAAGCGAACCTTTACAATCGCGGTGTCAGTGCGGTGATTAAGAGAAGATACCAAGGGAAGATGTCCTGGGATTTTTCTATCACTTGTAATTTTTCCCTTTTTTAAATTCCCTTCTCAATTTTCTTCAGAGTCTTTTGCCCTGACACAGGCTCACCTCCTTTTATATCCTGCAGGTGTCTGCAGTGTAAGTAGAAAGGAGATACATGAAGTGGAGAGAAAAAGGAAAAATGCACACAGTAAGAGATTTCTTTTTCTTAAAGTCTGTGAGGGAATTGGGAAAAAAGACGAGCAGAAAATACAACCCTCACTAATGTAAAGAGAGCAGAACAAGGTAGTGGAGTATCAGGTGCTGAGACGAACCGGATACCCTTGCTACGAGACTGGTGACTGTTTTGTGCCCACTCTGCCTGCCGGCGTGGCAGCCCCGTGAGTCCCCTGCGCTACTGTGGGGTGCAGCGTAGGGCCCTCCCGGCATCCCCCGCGGGAGTGCAGAGCAGCGGGGTGCAGAGCAGCGGGGTGCAGGCAAGCGGGGACCATGCCATGGCTTCCGGAGGAGATGGAGGACAGACCTTTTAGCTCCATCACTACTAGCGACATCACTCTAAATCCCCTCTTTTGGCCACGGCCAAAAAAAACCCCCATAGAGTTACAGTGGGGTACACTGGTTTTTAGCCCGGTGGAAATTCTTAGTCAGTGTGTGGATAAAAGTGATCAAGCCACACAACTCTCTACTCAGAGCCAGAAGAAAAGACGCTGAGTTAAATAAGTGCCGTTCTCTATTTTTCTGTAAGAAACACATGCAACTAGGAAGAGGTTTCTCTTTGTTTCTGAAAGATGTTCATTAATGCAGCATCAAGTATCAGACTAGTAAGGTTAAAAAAAAAAAGTGAAAAAACTTGACATACCATTTTGCGAAATGTTCTGTAAGTCTCTGTGATTACAGCGATTTCTCCTGCGTAAACGTAGGTACAGAGAGTCTGTCCAGCCTCTGAAATAAATTGAGAAAATGCAAGCTGTTAAACTCATGTGATACTAATGAAAACACAGCTGATATACTAAAAATGAAGTATGTTCTCATCTCTGAACAACTCTGTGCCCCAGTTATGTATATACTTCTATTTCACCATCTCTCTTTTTTGTGGCCGTAAATCTTTTTCATCTTGAACAGGGTGGCCTAAAATGGAAGCCAAGATATCCTCTCAGAAACTATGAATTGATGGAGAGTTTCTCTAAAACTGTTCCATCCAGGATGCTTTTATCCCGGTCTTTCAGATAAGGTGTTTAAAAACCTTTTTGTTTTACATAATTTATCAAAACAATCCTGTTGCTTGCTCACTAATTGACTTTTCAATTGGTTGTAATGGAACAGTAAATAAAAGAGAAGAAATATTGGCAGGGCATTAATTTCCCAATGCCATAAATCTTGGACAGATTGATCTGAAAACAGGTTATGCTTGATTGTGATTAGTTCTCTCCTTTACTTCGCACTGTTGAGAAAAATGAAAATGCAAATGAAAAGGATAACAGCCCAAAGGGAAGCTGATGAGAAGACCACACTCCAAGCCATGAGTACATGGTCATCTCTATGGGGGCTGCTGATGTTGTGTTTGAATTTAGATGCCAAAGGAATCAGATAAGTTAAATGTCATGGCTTAAGAACCGCAAACTTGGACAAATGCAGAGAAACAGAAAACAACGATAAGTTTTGAAAGCAGCAATAAAAAGTAACTACCTACATAGAAATGCGTAACATCAACCAGTCACCATGCAGTGGGCTACACAAGAAACGCCTGAGCTCTTTGGCTTTCAGCATAGCAGGTGGGTGGACAAGGAGAAGCAAACACCTTCTCAGTCAGAGGATATTAGTTAGAAAGTAGTGTCCCTGTTCATCCATCGGGGGTGGGAAAGATCATAGCAGGCGGGTGGACAAGGAGAAGCAAACAGACCTTCTCAGTCAGAGGATATTAGTTAGAAAGAAGTGTCCCTGTTCATCCATCGGGGGTGGGAAAGATGGGCACGGACCGCATCAGTTTGTGTCTCTATTTCTGCAGGCTTGGAGTAAACGGGAGCCTCCCACTGCACAATGCCAACCAGTCTCCACCACACTAAGTCACTGTGGTGAGGGATCTTGAGCTACTTCTCTTAAAAATGCCTTGAAGTCCCAAACAGTCCTTCTTTTTTATCTTCCAGACGTGGAAGAGATTAAAAAAGAGATTGAAAACTGAACCAAGGCCTATCACTGACAATTCAGGGTCAATACTACGCTCTGATCACTTGTGAACTTCAGATTCTTTGAAGCCCAGTTAAATACTGTGTATCAAGTAGCTGGTCATTGTAATAGATTTTTAAAGATCGGGTTTGCTGTTGACTCTGAAAGAGGAGGCTGCATAGATCTTCTCTGTTGGCTTGTCAAGTAGTATACCACCTTAAAGCATACACTGTGTGAATGTAGCTGAGACTGGGAGCCTGGTTTTTGCACAGGGAATAAAAAAGAAGCAAAAAGTACAAGTGTATGGTGCAACAGATATTTTTCCTGGAAAAGAATATATTCTGCCAACTTTTAAATTCTGTTGGTAGGGAGCGTCTTTAGGCTTGACTTGTGCTTGGTTTGGCATTTCACTGTATTCATGACCTATCTTAGACATATAAAAAAAAAATTATCTGAAACTCAGGCCAGACCAGGCACTGTTGATGATTATATCCCTTCAGCTCTGGCAGAGTCAAGGGCCTTTTAATGCTGACCAAAAAGATGATTAACAAAATTATGACTATTTTTTTTCACGGTTAAAACTGCAGGCATTTCAAGGTGTTTTCTTTGTGTTTGGACTTCATTTTCCTTCCCTTCTGGCAGAGACTTCTTTTTTTCCATCTATCCCTGCATCCTTCCCCATTCACATAAGCCAACGTACCACAACAAATTAGGTCACAGGCACTTCCAAACTCTTCTTTTGCTACTTCCCTCTAAATGGGAAAAAAAAAAAAAAGGGGGGAAGAGAGATTGCCCCAAAAAAGGGAACACCATGAAATAACCCTGGGGTTACCATTTATTCTACTGTTTCAGCAGCAAAAAGGAAACAGGAGGAAGAGGGAAAGA